CGTAGCTTTTCGCCCAGCACACATTTTTCTATTTTGGGACATACGACATCTGGTGACAAAGTATGCTCCAAAAATTTATTCGGACAAACAGAACGAAAAGATCAATTAAAAGTTTGGATGAAGATTTTAAAAATTAAAGAAATTGATTCTGGAATAAAAGTGTGCTCAGTTCATTAACGATTACATATACTTCGTTTACTTTCTGTAGCGATGTGACCTTCAGTTTGACTGGCGCAAAGTAGAAAAGAACAGCACTAGGCCAGAAAAGGAAGGAGACAACTCTCGCTCAAACTCTTACCCGGTGAGGAGCGTATGATCCGTAAGTACTGCACTGAAAAACTGACCATTTTATCCACTACAATTGCATTGTTCAAATGTGCTGTTATTGATGCCATTTACTACTGAAAATATCAACGAGATGTTTATTTATATTTGAAGACATATTAAAGGCTTTAACAATTGTTTTCGACTCGCACTACTATTCCTGATTGAACAAAGCTTTTGACAGGTACTGTATGAAAAAGTATGTTTAATGAACAAGAGTCGAGAGTATAATGAGCTTTTTTCTCCCTACCTACGATTTTGCCAACGCGCATCCAAGACATTGGAAGGGAGGGACACATCGCTAGAGAAAGTAAATGAAGTATACTACCAAGTAAGTTGATTTCATGTTTAACCTAACTCATATACTTTGAAATTTGACAAGTTAGTTCATTGTAGTGAGCAATCAATTATTGTTTTGCATAGCTTTTTATACAACGAGTTACTTATGAATGAAATGAGCATAAATTCCATTTTTTACTACAAACTTATGCACATACTGGATTCTGATGTATTCTTATACTGCTCGCCCAACCCAGTTTTGCGCGAGTATTGAACTGATAAAATTTCACCGTTTAATGAAAATGCACCATTAATTTCGTGGGATTTTCTTTCAACTTGGATGTTTTGTGGCAATAAGCCATAATTATCTTTATTTTTACCGCATATGACCGGCGTTGAGAATCGGTTCTGCTTCAACAAAGTTCCTTTGTTAAGGGTTCGTAATAGTCCAATCACATATTGCGCTTATATTTATTTATCATTATTTTTCGGTTTGGAATCTATACAATTGCACGCAAGACCGTATTTGAAACTTTCCCTTTATTTGACAGATCTCAATAGCTTTTCTTTCAACTTTTTAGGTTCCCTTATACAGAAAAAATTAAACAGTTTTTAAAGTGAAACTTTTATTACATCGCCTCAAATTTTTCCGTCCATCTATCGCATTTCGCATTACAGCCAGCCGCGGAGTAGGGGTAAAACTGAAAGGCGCTCGGCAGAGCAGCCAAGGTCAATATGACAGCGCCCATGGCTCGCATGAGCTAACCGTGTAGCATTTATATTCTCACTCATTCGTGCAAGTGCATGACGATTACATTTATAGACTGCGAAACAAAGCGAAGATGAAATTATTGATAGAATAACTGAAGTTCAAAATGATTCAATGATTTAAATAAATATTGTTCTCAGTTTTTAACATGCGTTTATCATCTGAATTCTGAATGATTGTATTTATTATGTATTCCGTACTCTCATACGCAGATTGAAATTAAATTGTATAGTTGAATATCTTGTCTTCTATTGGTTTGCCATTATAATTCCCATTTCCCAATCATTAATATAAGATTAAGAACGCCATTTTTTTAAATACCCTAAACCAACTAAAGTTTCCGAAAATTTACAGTTAAAAGCCTACAATCTGAAAATTTTGACTTGCATCGTAAAACTGGTTTCATAAAACCACACATTTGTTTTATCTTAAATTTCAAGTTATGACATCAACAGGTAGAAATGGTGAGACTAGCGACTTGTCAGATCTCTGCCCCCACAGTCAGGCTACGTGATTCATGGAAGAGCCCTAGCTGCCGATTCATAAAAACTATAGACGTTTAATAACTATAACAAACATATTTAGGATAGTTACTATACCAACACGAAGAAAACATGAGTTGAATTGCGGAACGACTTGAGCCAGATGGTTCGTTTGATAAATGAGTATGTAACGAACGTAACGATTCAGAAAATACTACAAATGGCGCAGTAAACGCCATCTGTAGCACGATGCTACATTTTAGGATTACGTATTTTTCAACAAGGTCCACTTGTGTGGATATCTACTTGCTGAAAACGAATCCCGGCGTAGCCAACCTCAAGGTGATAGGCACGTTAGCTTAATCGAATAAAATAATTCGAAGTGGTCTGTATTCTGTCGAAACTGCCAGACGCGGATCGCGATTTCG